GGTCAGGCTCTGCTCCCTGGGAACAAGGACAGGACAAAAGGAAACAGTCTCCAGCTGTGCCAAGGGAGGTTTAGTTTGGATATTGGGAAAAATTTCTTCATGGAAAGGGTGGTCAGGCTCTGGTTCTCAGGCTGTCCAGGGCACAGGTAGAATCACCATCCCTGGAGGTGTTCAGGGGATATCGTTTAATGGTGGCTTTGGCAGTGCTGGGTTAACAATTGGTCTCAATGATCTTAGAGGGCTTCTCCAACCAAAATGATTCCATGATTCAGTGATTCTGGGATGTGACTAGGATTACAGGTGTTGTAGAAAAATGGAAGGAGGTTCCCAAACATGAGTTTGGGTATAAGCAAATCCCATTGACCAAGTTGCTGGCCAAGAAGTACCCACAAGGGCTTGTAAAGGCTCCCTCCTGGGCTGAAATGGTAGGGTGTTTCTCCAGGTAACCTCTTGATGGAGCCCAGGGGTTGGATCAGTGCAGGATCATCTCAGAGCAGTGACATGGACAGACTGTGGCAGGTCATGGTGCCTTTGCCTGGTGTCACATGCCAGACACTGTTCTCAAGTGTCCCCGTGACACCTCTCTGTGCAAGCCCACCACAGGTTTCATGGCAGGTTCCAAACTCAGTCTTAGTTTATAAAGGAATAGTAATTCTAAAGATTATAACTTTTTAGGTGTATCAGGAACCACAGAGATCAGAAGATGGTCTAAATCTCTGTGTCTTGAGCCTCAAGATGTGCCAGTGGAGGTTCAAGTTAGACATGAGGAGGAATTTCTTCATGGAAAGGGTGGTCAGGCATTAGAAGGGGCTGCCCAGGGAGGTTTGGAGTCTCCATCCCTGGAGGTGTCCAAAGAATACCTGGACATGGCACTCAGTGCTCTGGTCTGGCTGATGAGGTGGAGACCATTCACAGGCTGGAGTCAATGGCCTTGGGGGTCTTTTCCAACCTGAACGATTCCAGGATTCTGTGGATGACTTTATAACTCAACTCTTGCCTGGATCATGCCATACATAAAATAGGAGGAGGATTATTGAGTTGCATATAAATTACCCTAGTGAGGAGGAAGACCTTAGAGAGAATCAGTGGGTGACTCTGCTCTCACCCGTCCCAGCTAGGGATGCCTTCTTGGTAACATTTTGCATACAATTATTATTATTACCCGTGTTAGCACATCATTATTAGTATGGTTGTTGTTGTTGATCATCATCATCATCATTCTATTGGTGCTGTACATTTATCAGTGGCAATTCCAAACCTGCATTTCTGTTTCAATAATTCCTACTGTTTGTGAATCTGTGATTATGAAAGTCCTTATTGAACAGGACCAGACTTGTGTTGCCAAATTGGTCATGATCGGAAATTTAACCCGGCTGTTCCCAGCCCCTCTGAGGACCACTTGGGACAGAGGAGGCTTATTTTCTGCCAAATTCCTATAATCTCCACATTACACCAATAATTGTCACGGGCAAACACTTGATGTTGGAAAAAATAATTTAGTTTATTGCAAATTAAAATATGTTTGGATGTTGAGACACCAAGACAAGATTTAAACCACTTTTTTCCCCAGGCTCAGCTTCACATCCCCAACTCCTCTCTTTCCCTCTAGCCTGGGCAGTGCTTGGGGATGGGGAATGGGGGATGTGGTCAGCGTATAAGAACTCCCCTCTGCTGCTCATTGTTCCTTGCATTTCTCTTGGTCCAGTGTGGGTACTTCATAGGATGGATGTGGTTTCTTCCTGACACACCCACCTTCTCCTGTATTACCCCAACACCCTGTTGTTACCACAATCTAGACAATCACAAATCCAGAGAGTTTTGATTCATTCTCTTGCTTGGGGTGGAGGGGGGAAATGGGGCATCCATTGGTAGTAGAGTCATTGTCCTTGGACATTTTCAAGGATTGACTGCTTGTGGTCAATGGTCAGTGGTCTTGCTCAGCTGGTGATTGGCCACGGGTTGGACTTGATGGTCTTGGAAGTCTTTTTCAACCTAAGTGATTCTGGGATTCTGTGATCCTGGCCATGGGGCAAGAGAGAGGACAGAATATGAAAGGGTCTTTCAGTCTGTTCCCAAGGAGCAACATGAAAATCAATGACAAGAGTGTCTCAAGCAGTTTTGTAATATCTGAGAATCCCAGAACCCCAGACTGGTTTGGTTTGGGAGGGACTTTAAAGCTCATCCTGTCCCACCCCCTGCCATGGGCAGGGACATATTCCACTATCCCAGGGTGCTCCAAGCTCCATCCATCCTGGCCTACCTTCATGGATAACGTGACATGGAGCCCCATGTTTGGCCCCACTGGTGACTGTCAGCTGTTGGCTCTGGGGTGGGGAAGCAGCTGAAGCTCTGGGGAGGTGGGGCATGGGCTGACGTGGTCCTGGTTTACCACCCGAGCCGCACGGGCTCATCCCTGCCAAGGAAGGAGAATGAGCCTGGCGACACAGATGGAGGGACACAGCTGCCAAAGCTGTTCCTCCGCCTGTGGAGAACAGCCAAATGTGTCCCCAGCCTTTTGTGTCACTTTGGCAATTTACAGCTGGTGAAAGTAAATTTTACCAGGTGATTTTGAAACTCTTCCCTTCCATGGAATAGAGAGTCTGACACTGCAAGTCATGGAATCATTGAGGTTGGAAAAGCCCTTCAGGATCATCGAGTCCAACCTGTGACCAATTCCCACCTTGTCAACCTGACAAATTTCACTAATATAATATAATATAATATAATATAATATAATATAATATAATATAATATAATATAATATAATATAATATAATATAATATAATATAATATAATATAATATAATATAATATAATATAATATAATATAATATAATATAATATAATATAATATAATATAACATAACATAACATAACATAACATAACATAACATAACATAACATAACATAAACATAACATAAACATAACATAACATAACATAACATAACATAAACATAACATAACATAACATAACATAACATATCTCTAATATTTTCATCATATATAAACACCTTTAGTATATGTATTTATACACATACATTCATATCTATAAGCTCATGTGTTTATACAGTCTCAGACATCCTTTTATCCTAATGTTACACCACAGAGCACTTAACAATACATAATGTGATTTGTGTTATTTTCACTCTGTCACCATTTTATACACACACACACACACACACACACACACACACATTTATACTCTGTGAATGCACACACTCCCAGGCACTCTTTCATCTCTTTATGTAACTTTAATAACCCAGAATATATAACAAATGCACAGGATATTTTATATCTGCCATGTGTTATGTAGTGTATTATTTGTACTTTTATTTACTATTACCTCCCACATTGTCATGGTATTGTTTCCTCTTGGGTACTACACATGTTGCTGTATTACAACATTATCTATAATTATATATTACATCTATTTGCATATATGTACGCATGTATATATATCACAGCTTCACAGAGTCTCCTTTTATGTACACATGTATATCTGTAGCCTGTGCAGCCTCAGATGTCCTTTTCATAGCATCTGTATAATACAAAAATCTATTTACTTAATGTAATCTATAGTACAGATTATATAAAATGTAAGAGCATAATGATAAATTTTCATTATATTTGATTATAAATTTCATTATTTATTACTTTTATTTCAAGTTATTATTTTACCACGATTAATTATTATACAGCTATATTGTTATAGTATTAGATGAGCTATTTTGTTATTAATTTTATATATCACATAATATATATTACACATAAAGCTCACTGGCAGCACACACTGCTTCTCACGTGTGTGATATATTCACCCCACTCTCTCTGACAGACGCCTGCCTCGCATATGTTATTACACAGATTTGCATATGCAAATTGCCCATGTGGACGCTCGCCCGCGCTCAGCGGCGCTGTCCCGTGGCCCGCCCGCGGCTCTCGGCCGCCCGAGCCGTCGATGCCGGTGCCCGTTCCGGTGCCCGTTCCGCCCGTTTCCGCCCGCACCGGAAGTGCCTTCCCCGCGGTGCCGCTCGTGGCCGCCGGGCGGCGCCGGTTCCCGGAAGCCGCGTCCCGGAAGCGGCGGGGCGGGGCGGGGCGGGGCGGGCGGCCGTGGCGCGCATGCGGAGCCGCGGCGGGGCAGCCCCGCCATGTCGCGGAGCGCGGAGCGGCGGCTGTGAGCGCGGGCGGGCCCGCGGGTCCGGCTCGCAGGGACGCCCCGCCAGGTACGGTCCCGCCCCGCCCCGCCCCGCCGGGACCCGGGGGCGGAAACGGGAGAGCGGGGGCGGTGGTGGCCCCGGCGGGACGCGCGGGGGGCGGCCGGGAGGCGTCGTCCTGTTCGTTCCCTTCTCTGTTCCTTTATTATCTCTTCCTTTCTCATCTATTTCTTATCCCTTTCTATCCCATCCTTTGCTTGTCCTTTTCCTTCTCCCCTCCCTTTTTCCTCGCCTGTTCCCGCTCCCGTTCCGGCCTGGGGGCGGTCCCGCTCTGTCCCGCGTGCGGTGCCGTCCCCGCCTTGACGCCGCTCGTGTTTTGGTTGTGTTCTGCCGTCGGGGGCTGTTGGTGCTTGTTGTCACTGCGGCCACATCGCGGTGAGGGTGGTGTGTGCTGGAGGTTGCCGCGAAAGGGGGAGAGGAATTAAACCTTTCGCGGAATTATTTCCGTTGGAAAAGCTCTTAAAGATCAGTTGAGTCCAACGATTCCCCCAGCACTGCCGCATTCACCACAAACCCATGTCCCCAGGTGTCTCATTCACTGTTTTTTTTTAACACTTCCACGGATGGTTACTCCATCACTTCTCTGCCTTGAGAAGCCTTTTGCGATGCTTGGCCACCCTTTCCTTGAAGAAATTTTCCCCAGTATCCAATCTGAACCTTCCCTGGCCATTCCCTCTCCTCCTGTCCCTGTTCCCAGGGAGCAGAGCTCGGCTGTCCCCTCCTGTCAGGAGCTGTGCAGAGCCAGAAGGTCCCCCTGACCCTCCTTTTCTCCAGGCTGAGCCTTCCCAGCTCCCTCAGCCGCTCCTGGGGCTCCAGACCCTTCCCAGCTCTGTTCCCTGCCCTGGACGCTCTGGGTCGGTTTCACTGATCAGGTCCCTCAGTGCTGGGCTGTCCTGGCTGGAATGGTGCCGAGGGAATTCTCCGGGCTGCCCAGCTCTCTGTGCTTTCATTCCTGCTTCACGCTGGGGAGATCAGCAGGCCCAGCGGCTCCAGCCATGGTTTGGCTCCCGATGCCTTTCCTTGTCTCTCAGGAGTTCTCAGGGGGGTTTGTGTATTCAGGGATGAGTTCTGGGTGATTTCTGAATCCCGAGGCTGCCGTGAGATCCACATTGGGTGTTTGTGATGGTCACAGATTCTACCAGAGGTTTTCTGGCGGAGGAGGATTCAGTCATGGATCAGGAGAGCTGTGGTTGATAGTAGAGCATAGGGTGTATTTCCTGGCAGTTTGCATGTCCACGATTATCTCTACTCCAGGGAATATTACATAGTGGGTGAAAAGAGTTCCCAGAAACAATTACTGTCAAACAGAAAGGGTTTTTTTTCTGCCACTATGGAAAGCTTCTGGTTTAGGATAAAACCTCAGATCATGAGATGGCTTGAACTGAAATTCTGGTCAGAATTCCTCCAAATTCAACATCAATTTCTTTATTTCCTTTAGATGATGATAATGATAATAATGATGGTTATTGTATATTATCTAGATTATAGGTTACTATATATTTATTATCATCATTACAATTATTATTTTATTATAGTTTTCAAATAACCCATGGAATGAATGCAGCTGTATCAAATAAATATGTATCAACTACAATCATCAATTAATTTTATTTTGACCCTGGGTGCACGTTTCCAATTGACAAGAAATAATTACTTTGCTACTTCCTGGATCCAACTGAACCCATTAAAATAAATTCTTTTGGTTCTCTGGAGTGGCCCATAATCCCTGGTTATTTATTCACATTTGTAGATGAAAGTTGTGCCTAGAAGAACAGTTGCGAGTGAAGGTAGATGGAAAAGTAGCTCATTGTTCCTTCTGACAACTTTGCAGGAAAATTGAGCCAATCTGTGTCTTTGGTCTCGACTGATGTATTTTTTAATGGCACTGTCAGGATTTGTGTGGGAATCATGTGCTGGTGTTTGCATTGGATTTGGTGAATGAATTTATTTGGCAGAAATAAATATTCCTATTTCCTGAAAATATTCCAAGGGTGGTTTTGTTAATGCAAGCATAAAGGACAGAAGGTGAACATTTGAATACTCAGTATTTTGTGTTTTGTGCTGCTTACTGAGAGTAATGAACAGAGAGAGAAGTTTGGACAGTAAAACTGGTGTGTCTGGTTAAGAAAACAGGAATTCTGGTGAACTGAAGGAAATGTAGATTATTATTTTTATTTTTTCTGTTTTGAAATAAGTAATTAAAGAAATAACTCTCCCAGTTTCTTTCTGTTCTCTCTGCTTTCTTGCCTTCCTTAATGCCACATTCATAGGGAGGTGTTGGTGTTGCCACACACAGACTGTTCTCCAAAAGAAATCTCCTTTTTGGGCAAAAAAAAAGTGATCTGGTTAACAGGTCCCTCTGTGAATGTCACAGAATTTTATTTGATTGTTTTTATTGAATTTGATAATTTCTCTGGTGATGTTAAATAAGATTTTTTTCCAGGCCACCTTTTTTTGGTCTTCTGTGAGTTTATTTCCTTCAAGGTTTGTTCATGGATCTGCCTTAGGCCTTTCTAAAGTATCATAACAACACAATTATTTCTGAGTGTTTGTATATGAGACTTGAGGAGATCTATTCTTACGGGGTTGGAAGTGAAGGAGCATGAAGAGGAGAAAGAAAACTCTACTCCAATAACTATGGGAGAAGTTCCCAAGGACAACCCGGTATGATACAGATTTCTTTTTTTTTTTTTTTTTTCCCCGCTAGGAAAAGAAATTAGCCTGTTCTTTAACCAAATTAATCTGACACCCTAAAAAGGGAATACTGAGGGAGTTTTTCTTATTCTACTTAAGACATTCTTAAAGATTCATTAATTCAAGGAAGCAGTGACCTTGAAGACTGAAGCAAAACAACTTCTAACTCTCTTCTTCATCACTCAGAATGTATGGGGACAGTGCTTTATTTTATTCTGGTAACATGAAACTTCACCTGGGAAAGGCTTTATGATGTGAATTTGTTGCAATGAAGCCTTTTCAACTTAGAGAAGTAAAAAGATTTGCCGTGATTCTTTCTCTCCTCTGTCATTTGAGTAAATATGTCTTCTCAATATCTTATTGGACTTCTCTCTTGCCTATCCTTTAGCTTTTTGTCATTCTCCAAACATGTAAATACCTGATACTTATTTCAAGTTAAAGAATGCTATTTTGTAAACAATTATGATTTTGGGGCGTCTTGTTCTTTTTCATGGAGATAAAAAGCTACAGTTGCCATCTGTAATCATTCAAAGCAGAATGATCTGAAATTCAGGGAAATGAGATTTTTTTTACTGGTGATTTTTCTCCCAGTCTACTTTTAAAGTCCCTGTTTGTTGCACAGTCAAAACCAGGTTTTAAGTCCATTAGCTGGAGGTGAATGCGGAGGTGAGTTCTGGAAGCTGGCAGAAGAACACAGTGATGCAAATATATTGTCAGCTCATCTCTCCCTGTTTCTCTTGCTTCCTCTCCCTCTGATCTGCTCCCCCTCCTCTTGCCCAAAAGTTAGAAGTGTCCTCTTGCTTTGACAGGTGGAGGAACAAGCCTCTTTGGAGGGTTCTTCTTGGTGCCAGTTTGCAGCCCTAGTTAGTTGGGGGTGTAGGTAAGTGCCTGTTTCTCTGTTCAGCACTTCAGAACTTCTCTGTTCAGCACTTTGTGGGACTTGCTGAAAAAATCCTTCTGAATTTGCCTTTACTTCTTATATGTAGAAGCAAAGTTGAGGCTGTAGATCATGAAGTTATGAAAGAAGTGTTGAGAGATTCAAAGCACAGAACAGACAAAGTGTGGTCCAGGAGCTGCTGCTGTTCCTCATTTGCATTGTCAGTAGTGCTAGAAGGTTTAAAGTTCTCCAAAAGTCTTTTTTCTCTGCTTTAATTATATTCAAACACACAAATGTTTCTACTTCCTCTTAGTTTAAGCAAAACTGTTTTCTGTTGGATTGTTACCTGTCAGTGCTAGCCCATCTCAAGTCTCATTTCTGATTCCATAGCATCCAATTCCATTGTGCTCCTAAGCCCTTCAATGACAGCTTCCATTAGGAACTGTGTGATATATTGCCCATATTTTAATTTTCAGTACCTTAAAAACAAAAGTACTGCAGAATTTCCTGCCCACTGCACTGATACCTCATGTAAAAATCTCAATTTTCACACATTGTGACCAGAAATGAGGCATTTTACCAAAATACTAGGTGTGGGAGTTAATTCCAAGGTCACAGCAAAGAAAGCTCTGTGTCCCTGATGCCTTTGTGTGTTGGGCAGACAGTAGTGGGGTGTTTGTGTCAGTCCCCAGGGGAATGGGACCCTCCAGCAGCAACTGCCCAGCTTTGGAGTGAAGAGCATTCCTGTGACTTCCTACTTGATGGCAAAAGGCAAAGACTGGCTGACTCTTGAACAGACACAGTGGTGGGGTGCAGGACAGAGCTCTCCCAGGCACTGCTGCAAGCTGAGTCAGAAGCCTGAAAAGACAGAAAAAATGCTGGTTTCAAAACTACCTGACTGAAAACAGAACACAGCACTGATGTCATTGGGTTGGGACTGGGAACTACGCCCATGTTCGTCTTCCAAGGCATTTATTGATGTAGGAGGTCGATGGGATGGAGGTGGTGCACTTGGTGACTCCAGGTGGAGTTGGCAGCTCTACCTTTTGATCGCTGTGGATCTGCTGTCAGGAAATTACTTCCAGTAATTTGGTCTCTTTATTCCAGTGAGGGCAGCTCTGTTTGCCCACACGTTCTCTGCAGTGCTTTGGGCAGTAGATTACTCTGCTCAGAGTCCAGGAGCTGTTTGCAGAAGAGCCTGCTTTGGGCAAACTCCCCTGCAGTAGAAAATTTTCTTTGTCTTGCCATGGACTCAGAAAACCTTGGCATTTGGAACAGTCACAACTAACTTGTGTTTTGACAAGATCTGTCGGTCTCTTAGGGAGTTCTTACCTTTACCTGCAAGAAATCTCTGTTTTCTCTTTCGGATGTCTCTAGTGCTGTTTCCATGTGTTCCTCCTTGGTCTTGAAGCCTTTTCATTCCCAGACTTTGACTTCTGTTCTCAAAAATGTTTACAACCCAGTAGTATTTGAGGGTTTTCCATCTCTTTGAGGGTGAACCACCTCTGTGGTCTGTATCAAGAATGGCCAGACAGGTGTGAGGGAGGCACAGGAGCCACTTGTTCCACAAGTTAAACGCATTTGCTTCCAAATTACTTTGTTGTATCTGAAGTAATTTCTGCTTCCATCTTGCCATGCAACTACTCTGCCTGTATTTTCCTGAAATGTTCCTGAAATTCATAGTTCATAGCACTCAGGAAGGATATAAATGGTAACAGGGAGGTGGGAAAAGGAAAAATATGGTTTCTCTGGGAAATCGGGAGGTAGTGGTTTAATTTTCAAAATGAAAGGCCTCATGAGGGGAAGAAGAGGTAATGTGAGGTATTTCCTGGGCTGTTTTAACTTACTTTTAATCTGAAAAAGATGCCATTTCTTGCTACTCTGGAGTATTGAAGTTGGACACTATTTTTGGACAGTCTGAGGTGGTCTGAAATGGAAACTTGGGTAGGTCAGTAGGAAGCTCCTGAAGATTAACTCAGGCATTTCCAGGAGTTAATCTACTTCAGCCCTGGGTGTAGAGTTCACCGATGCTCGTGAATTAAAGTACCTATGCTTATTCACTTACACTGCCTTTCATTTTTCTCTGTTTTCCCTTTTCTTTGTTAAGCATTGCAGGCTGTATGTACCGAGTCATTCAGACAACGGGACCAGATGGAAAAAACCTTCTGAAATTGCTTCCCATTTCTAAAACTTCTGGAAGCTTTGTGCCAATAGTTCAGTCTCCAGCCATGCCAAATAATTCTAACGCAGATGTTTCTAGCCCAGTCCATCTTAATTTTAAGACACAGATTGGCAATACTGCTGCACCTTCATCTGTTAAGATACCGATTTTTCAGCCTTCTAATCCTGGAGAGATTATTCTCACAAGGACATTAGACAAGCAGGAAAGTGCTAGGGTGGGTTCTGAAAAGGAAAGCTTGATTCCAAGTGCACCTGCCAATGCCCAGAGCAGCTCTGTGCCCATGGATGGAGTGTCCTTGCAGAACGTGGCCATCACAAGCTCCTCTCACCAGAACAGCACAACCTACATGGTGGTGAACACCAAACCCCTCCCAGTGACTGTCAAGTCTCCAGTGCTGCCCTCTGGACACCACCTCCAGATTCCAGCTGATGCAGAAGTGAAATCTGTCCCAGCGTCTCTTTTGCCAACTGCAATACAGCAAAAAATCCTGGCAGCTGCAGCCACCAATGTGTCTGGAGGGGCTGAGAGTACAAAAACACCAACAGTGATTTACGTGTCACCCGTGAACACAGTGAAAACCTCCCAAGTCCTGCCCAAGCGCTTGCAGAGCTTTTGTCCCAAACCTGCCACAGAAGTTTCAAAGACACTGATAGTGACAGCTGCCCAAAAGGGATCTGGTTCTTCTCCCGAACCAGTCACATCCAAGGGGCAGCAGTGCCAGCAGACTCCCTTGAAATGGATTGTGCAAGAAACTGCCTCGCTCTCAGCAGCTTGTCTTATCCCTGTAAAGTCTTCAAATAATGTGGCTTCCAAGATCCTGAAAACTTTGTCAGACACAAAGAATGTAGAAGTTAACCCTGCAAATATTTTGCCACTCTGTTCTAATGGTCCTGGTGGAAGCCAAACCAAAATCACACCTTTAAAAGATAATGCTCTGGTCATGTACAATGGGAAAGTCTATTTATTGACCAAAAGAGGCTCTGATGTTCTGTCAGCCCAGGCTGACAAGCAGACATCTTCCTCTTCTGATGCTTTATTTAAAAAGGAGACACCCAAGCAAATTGATTCTACTGAAGTCAATAAAATAACCAGCAAAGTGGTGAATCTGGTGTTGTCAAAAAGCAAAGGAGTGGTGCTGTCTCAGAAAGACCCAAAACCATGTACAGTTTCCAAAAATTCATCACCAGTTAGCTTAAGAAACAACTTAAAATCCACACCTGCAGCTCTGCTGACACCGAGTGCTAATCAGGAGGATCCCACTGTAATCCAAAAACAGAGTTTGCCCGTCACCAAGAGCATTTCTTGCAGTGAAGTGATCCCAGTTCCAGCAGTAGGGATGCAGGAAAGTGTGTGGCAAACTGGCAAAGACATGAGTCATTCCCCAAGAGCAGCAGGGGCTGTGTTACTTCAGGCTAAGCAGGAATGTGCTGTCAGTGAAGACTGGCCAAAGGTAATAAATCATAAGCATGCTGATCAGTGTCTGGTCAGTAGTTTTGTGGTCCTGGTTTTAGGTGGATAAAATGACTTGTGATGAGTTCACGCATTTTTGTAACCAAGTATCCTGGAAATGCTGTTCTAAGGTTGGTTCTAGTCAGTAAATGGCCTTTTCCCCAATAATTGTGCACTGTGCAAATGAGAAATGCATAGAAGAGAAAGGGGCAGAGGAAAGGTGGCTTTTGATTTCTTCCCAAGATAAATGGTAGGCAATAACTGAACTCCAGGGAGGCTGTTCATGGTTTGAGCTCTTAGATGTTGATGCCACATGCTTACAGCACAACCTTAGGGCTGTAGGGGTGGTGTAGGGTAGAGAAGGATGAGTTTCTGGCTTCACAAGAGGAAAATAAGTTGGAAGAGCAGAACCTGTCCTCCAGAGACAGCTCTGGTGCGTCACTGTCAGCTCCTACCTCCACTTGCTCTGACAGCCATGGCCCGGAGCTGTTTCCTTCCTCCCCTGCCCTGGTGGGGAGGGTCCACCTCCTTCGCTCCTGGGTCCATGCCAGGCAGAAGGAACTCTTGAGATCCTTAATGACTGCATTGACATATTCTTTTAAGGTCATAATGTTGAAAATACATTAAAAGTTGTAAACCTCCAATCGCCTAACTTTCCACACAGGACTGGGGGGGTCATGTTTTTAGTAGCTCCAGAGGCCAGAATGAATTTGTCTCCAAAGAAAAAAAAAATCTGAAATTTGTTTGTGTTGTCCAGGAAGAACATAAATGTCATCAAAATGTATTTTTGCAAATTTTAGACATTTAATTGTTGAAACAGACTCTAAGACTTAGTTTTTTGATGTTTTGTCACCTGAAAAATGGTTGAAACACCATTTATTTACTTCAGTGCTGTGTGGAGTGGAGTCTCAGCATTTGCATTTGCTTTAGCTTTGGTGAGAAATAGCTCAGCAAATTTGGTGTTCTTGTCCCTAAATTTGCAAAGCCCTGGATTGCAGAGTAAAGACACTACCTGCTCTCCCCTCCTCTTTCTTTGGTACTTTGAAAGGGTAGAACAAGTGATTCTGTTGTTGCTTCTTTTATTTCTGTGGTGTCTGGTTGGCCTGTACATTTTCAGGATGTTCCACAATGTACTTGGGGTGTTAAATAACGAGTGTTAGACCTATGATAATTGGCATATAACTTATCAAAATCGCCTTATCCTTGTCAAATGTTACCTGTGTTAAATGTGTCTTCTTGAAGAATGGCAGACAAAATAAATGCTCACCTGTCTTTCTAGTACCTACTTTTTGCATATCAATATATGTTATCTATTTATAGATATATATAGTGAGAGAGTGATTGATGGCTCTTTCACTGTTTCTGTATTTCAGATCAAATGTGTAAAGATGGATTCACCAGGAAAGATTATTCAAATCAAACACCAAGAGCACCGACACTGGAGACAATACTCGGAATTAAGGAAAAAATTTGGTCTCTTTAAGGAGGAGAGAGTTTACCTTACAAGAGTACCATTAAGGGCCTCATGTGAGAATCCAGACGAAAGGGTTTGTTCCAGTGACAGCTTGGAAAAGAAAAATGAGTCTTGCAGTTCATCCTCATTGGATGTGGAAGTAATCAGTCATCATCAAGAATATGTTAAAGAAGAAAAGGTACTTGGGATTTTTCAGTGCTCAACACACTCAGAAGGCAGCATATGTTTAGTCAGTATGGAGCTGGGGGTGTTTGGAGCCTCCCACCTCTAGATTCACCAGGAGAGTCAGGAGTTGTTTGGATCTTTATGGGAATTGTTCCTAGAACTTGTTTGAGATTTCTGTGATTCAAGTACCTTCTAGGAATTTTTATTCTCAATTTTGGGTTCTGCTAGAGGAAACTTGAACAACAAATGCTTTTGAGAAGACTGTCCCTACTACTATGGTGATGGTCCTTGTTGGAATAGGGACCTGATCTTGGGATCCTTATTTATATTTAAGCCTCTGCAGATGGTTATGTTTGTCTAGCAATGCAGTGGGTACAGGCAGAGGAATGGTTTACTTGAAAATAAAAGAATTTACTTCTGGATCTGTGCAATCTTTAGAATTACAAATGTTGTTACAAACTTAGTCATCGGTTGAGTACTTCTGGAAGGAAGAATTTCCATGTTAATGCATGGAAAGGATTTTACCCATCTAAGTATTTCTGTTCAGCTACATTTTCTTCTGTGTGATTGTACAGAACTCAGTCAAAGACTTCCTCAGGTTTACTAATTTTGTGCTAATAATTGAGCAGATCCATGGCTGCTCTTAACATTAACATTAGCATTAACTCATCCCTTAGAAGTGTCCAAGACCTGCTTGGATGGAGCTTGGAGCAACCTGGTCTGATGGAAGGTGTGCTTGCCCATGGCAGGGGGTGGAATGGAATGGGATTTAAGGTCTCGGAATGCAAACCAGGATGTGATTCCACGATTCAAATAATAAAACATCTATGAGGAATTTAGTCTTATAATGGACATTACTTCTCAGATTGAGGTTTTGGAAATGTAGACATGAAGAATTCTACGCTGACTTTTCCCATTAAATTAGAAAGTTCTTGTCTTGCAGTAGTGTTAACTTAAACAGCCACAGGAGATGATGGACATGGCCAGGAAAGGCAGACATGCAGCATTGACTAAGGAAGGATTTCAGTGTCTGGAATTGTTAACTGGGAATCTTTGCTAGAAAAACATCAAACACAAAAATATGTTTGTTCTTTTGCTGAAAGAAACTTCTTCCAGGCAGTTCCAACCTTGCAACAAAGAATTTGTAATTTGTGCTCAGAGAACTTGGTGTTATAATGTAACTGATGCTGAGTTTAACGGAAGTGAATTTTGTCTGTTTCTAACTGTGCAGATAATTCTGGATCTGGAAGAGGATTTGATTAGGAAAAGGAAAATAAAATCCTCACCTTTGTCACACAGTGGCAAGAGGAAGAGAACTTCGATCAAATCAGCCACAAGTCCCAGTTTAGAGATCACCAGCTCAAGTTCCAGTGCACTTAACAGAACTGTTTCACCTGCACCAGCCTCACCACAGCCAAGTGTTCCCACTGGCTTTGTTGGAGTGTCCCCGGAGAGGGATTTGGAGCAAGACACATTCCCCCAATACAGTGACACTACGCACCCAGAAATTTCAGGTTTAGTGACTTCTGAAGAGGATACTTCCATTCTGGAAGGTTCTTTCCGAGATGATGCTTTCCCAATGGCTCCCCCAGACTTGGATGAGACAATACGGGATGAAAAAATCAAGCGACTGAAGCAGGCCCTGCGGCAGCAGAACGCAGCGCTGGAGGAAATGCGCCGGGAAATGCATCAGAGCTGAGGCACCTGCCCTGGGGATCCCAACTTCTTGCATCACCTCTTCAGTGACTTCAAGAGGAAATCCCATGCTTAAATGAGTATTTCTAGTAGATGGAAGAACTAGATGAAGTTTAAGTGTGTGTGTATTTAGAGAAGTGTAGGTTTTTGTTAAATGCCAGAAATAAGGGACTTGGACCATCAAATTCTACTTCTGGGACGTGATGCAAGAGTACAGACAAAGGGCATCTTTACTAGCATATTCCCCATATTTTGAATTTAAGGGGTTCTGTATTAGTCTCAGCAAATAAACTTTCCCCTTTCGAATTCCACAGCCTGGCTCTTTAGAGCTGCAAACCCTAGTTGTAGATACTTTTTTGTTTGTTTTTCTCATGTGCATGAGAACTTTGATGAATGCCTGAGAGCTGTTAATTTTCAGAAGAGGTCAACAGTTGGTGGTTAATAAATGCTATTTAAAGAATCTGGGAATTAGACTTCAGACAGTAACAGTGTAGATGTTTATAGAAAACCTCTTGCAGATGTGAAGACAGAGGCAGGAGGAACCCTGTGACAGTTGTTTGGATTCATGGCTCTCTCTGTCACTATTGTGAGCCTTTATAAGGCCATGGCCAGCTGTGCAATGTGGAAATTTGGTTGTGGGGTTGTTTTGGAAGGCTGGGATGTATTTTTTTTAACAGAATTCTGTTAATAATAATTTCTTGAAACTAAAAGACTACTTTATCCCTGGATGGTATCTTTAGCAATCCTCAGTGAGTGTCTTTTAATTTGTTGTTGTTTGAACATGTCTCTTGCCACCTTCAGTTACGGTACCTTAGTTTGCCTTGTAGGAGGGGATGTGCCCTCAGACTGTCTGCATCCTAATTTTTGTAGAACTTGGTGTGTATTTCCCCACTGTGCTCTGTTGTATGTGTAGGGACACCTTTCCTTGTCCTATGTTGTCCATGTCTTCCATGTCTTTGATCCTTGCAGGTTCCTTCTGCAGTTTCTCAGTTTCCATTTCACCAATTAATAATTTTTTTTTTTTGCCAGCAGAGTTTGTTGTTGTTTTGTTCCTGTCTGTTTATATTTATGTTAAACATCACCAATCCCGGCAGAGCTCTGCTGCAGATTTGTGTTCACGGAAGGCTTTTTTTACTGTCCTTAATTTTGTATTTATTCTTGCGTTGTTTAATTTTAATTAAATTTTCATCTGCAGGGTTTTCATTTCTTATCCCATGGATGCCCAGTTTATCTATAGGTTTTTGGTGGAGGATGGATGTTTCTTGGAGAGTTTAGTCCCATATTCCTTATTTATTTAAGTTTTCACAGTGGGAAAAAATCCAGTGGATTGGAGAGGTGGGAAAGGTTTTTACAAGACAAGAAAAAGGAAGTTCCTGCTCTGAAGAATCACAGAATCAGAGAAGGGTTTGGGGTGTAAGGGATCTTAAAGTTCATCTCATTCTACCCCATGCCATGGGCAGGAACACCTTCCACTATCCCATGTTGCTCTGAGCCCCATCCAGCCTGGCTGGTGACACTTACAGGAATGGGGAGAGCTTAAGCTAGACCAAGGTGATGGACCAGATGCACAGTGGTGGGTGAGGAGGGCAGGTGAATAATGGAAATAAACTCTGCAGTGATTGAGATTACTTGCTAGGAGGGAAGTGTGGTGGAACAAGCAAGTCAGGATGGTAGTATGGTATCCATGGGCTCGCTGTGTATGGAATGGGTGTTTTGGGACAGAATTGGGCTTTTGGCCAACTCCCAGACACCCAACTGCTCCACTCACTCCCCTCCTGTGGCATGTGGGAAATGGAAGAATGGAATTGTGGGTGGCGATAAAGGAGTTTAACAGGTCAGGCAAAAGCTGCTTGCACAAAAAGTAAAATCAGGAATTCAGTCACCACGTCCTGTCAGCAGGCAGAAGATTGGCCATCTTCTGGGGTCCTCGCTGTGCACGTATTCACCTGGAAGACAAATACATTGACCAGAAATGTCCTTCCATCCTCCTGCTTTTATAAAGCTTTTATTTGCTGAGCATGGTCCTTCTGTGGTCATGGAATATGCCATTGATCAGTCTGGGAAGACTGTCGTGGCTGTGTTTCTTCCCGGTTTCTTGTCCATCCCCAAATTCCTGTCCATCCCAAGCTGCTAGGGGTTGCAACAGCAAGAGAAGGAGAAAATCTGGATTTTGTGGGAGCTCTCCTCAAAAACATGGGTTTGTGATCAGCAGTCTCCTCAAAATCCCAGGCATGACATGGGGCTACCATGAAGGACATCGACTCCATCCCACCTAAAAGGATGAAATTAAATTCCCTCCATCTTGGGAAGCGAGATGGAGGCAGCCTTGTGTCATGTGTCTGGTGCTGCAGTCACCTGGTAGATACTCTTCCAACAGGCTTTGCTCACTTACTGTTCTCTAACAATTCTTTCCTTTATTTTCCAATTATCTCCAAAAAAATTAATGAAGCAGAGTTCTCTTATCCTCTTGTTTCACTTGAGGATTCCAGCATTGATATTCTACAATGCACCATCTCTTTCTCCTAGAATCTTTTTACCCTAACAAAGTAGTTCCATTTGCCTGAGTTTTTTGAGAGACAATAAAGTCTGGAGAAGAAGCCCTCACTGCAAAATTTTGAAGAAATGTGACCAGGATTTGATGGAAGAAGGTGAATGGGCTATGTCCAGTATAGTGATGGAAAACATCTGGTGCAGTTCAGAAACCAAGTATGGAAGAGAGAGCTCTTCCTTGGAACACCACCAGTGCAAGGTTGCAGGGATCACTGAGAGCCAAGAGAAGCCTCTTGATGTGCCGATGGGGGAAAGTTGTGCCAAGAGGCGCAAGGGGCTTCTGACAGCCAAGGACCTTGAGGCTGTTGGAGCAGCTCCTCATCCAGACCATCTGCAGCACGAGTTGGATTTTGCTGCCCTGTTCATCCTTGAATTCCTGCGATTTACGAAGTCTGTGACAAGAACAAGAGTTCTGGAAATGGTGGCTATCACCCCAGGAGTGAAGGTGACTGGTGGCCATCCCTGAATGCAGCCCAGGCTGGCAGGAAAGTGTTAGACACCCAGATTGCTGTGCTAAGTACATACAAATCCATGGATTTAGGATATGAATTGCAACGTCAAGCAAATTCCTGGCAAGAATCAGTGGGAGACCTTTTAGGAATTTCAGAGTCCAAAGAGCAGAGGTGGCAGTGAGTGCTGGACAGAAGAGATCCGGAAGTGAAGATGGTGCTGGGCCAAGTTGCCAACATCAGCCAAACCTGGTGCCTTGCAGTCCCCTGGCCAAAACTGTCCCTGACCCACCACAGCAGCCCCAGAATTTCTGTGTGAGGCACAAACCCTCACAGAGGTCTGTCCTAGACACAGAATCATTGGATCATTTAGATTGGAAAAGGCCCTCAAGATCATCAAGTCCGACCATAAATCTGAGGTAGCCAAGCCCAGCACTGACCCCAGACCTGGCCATTGCCAGGTGCAGCGCAGAAGCCACCTGGGGTTTGGCTTTTAGGGGGCTGTACCAAGAACACCCATCAGATGAAGCTCGGACAGACAATAGCAGTGTCACGTTCACAACACCGCAGAGCATAATGATCCAGGAGGTTCTGGAATGCATTGAGGATAACTCCTCCAAGTGAGAGAGGAGCCAGCAAGGAGAGGAGCTGTGCTAGACCTTGTGCTCACCACCAAGGACGACTTGGTAGGGAATGAGAAGCTCAAGGGCAGCCTGGGCTGAACGAATGGAATGGTGGACTTCAGGATCCTCAGGGCACAAGGAAGGCACAGTGAGCCCTGGGATTCAGGATGCCTCTTCAGGTATCTCCTTGGTTGAGTCTCATGGGATAAAGCCCCTGGAGGGAAGAGGGATCCAGGAGAGCTTGTTCATATTTAAGGATACCTCCAGCTCAGGAGTGACGCATCCCAAGCATGAGGAATTTGGACAAAAACTCCAGGAGGCCTGTGAGGGTGAATAAGAAGCTCCTGGACAAACTCAAGGAGTGTGAAAGCAAAGACAGGCAGCCTAGGAGGAATACAGGGATTGTCTGAGCAGCCAGGGATCAGGTTAGGAAACCTGAAACCCTGGTAGAGTTATGTCTGGCCAGGGACATCAAGGGCAATAGAAAAGCTTCTATAGATACATTGGTAATAAAAGGAAGACGGGAAAATGTGGGCCTTCTCCATAAGGAAACAGGACGCCTGCTTACCCAGGACGTTGAGAAGTCTGAGGTTCTCAGTGTTTGTGCCCCAGTCTTCTCTGGGAAGTGACTCAGTCACACCATCAGAGTTGCAGGGGCAAAGGCAGGGACTGGGAGAAGGAAGAACCATCCACACTAGTAGAACCATGGAATTCCGGAATCTTTAAGGTTGGAAAAGCCCTCCAAGCTCATCAAGTCAAACCTGTGTAATTGAGTCCAACCTGTGACTGATAACCACCTTACCACTCAGCCCACAGCACTGAGTGCCACATTCAGGCATTCCTTGGACACCTCCAGGTATGGCAACTGCATCGTCTCCCTGGGAAGACCCTTCAATGTCTGACCACCCTTTCTAGGAAGAAACTACTCCTGATGTCCAACCTGAAATTTTCCTGGTACAACTTGATGCCGTTTCCTCATGTCCTTTCCTTGTTCCCTAGGAGCAGAGCCTGACCTCCCCTGGCTACTCCCTCCTATGAGGGAGTTGTGGAGAGCTAGAGGGTCCCCTGAGCCTCCTTTTCTCCAGGCTGGGCCCCCCAGCTCTCTCATCCATTCCTAAGAGGACTTATGCTCCATACTCTTCACCAGCTCTGTTCCTTTTTCTGGGCTTGAGAAGGTAAAGAATCTTCTACTGGTTAAATACTTCATTAAAGGAATATTTAAGGAATATGAAGGTGCACAGGTCTGTGGGACCTGATGAGATGCATCTATGGATCCTGAGGGAACTGGCAGAGGAAGTTCCTAAGCCACTCTCCATCACATTTCGGAAGTGGCAGTTCAGTAAAGTTCCCGCTGACTGGAAAATGGGAAAATTGACCTCATTTTTCAAAAGAGAAGTAAGGCAGATGCAGTACACTACAGGCCAAGTCAGCCACACTGGTGTCTGGCAAGATCATGGAGAATATCCTTCTGGAAACTATGCTATGGCACATGGAAAATAAAAGGTGATTGGTGACAACCAACATAGCTTCTCTGAAGGGAATTTGCGCCTGACAAATTTGGTGGCCTTGTATGATAAGGTGACAGTGCTGATAGGTGCAGCAGAGCAACTGGCATCTTCTACCGGGACTGTGCAAAGCATTTGACACTGTCCTGCAGGACAGCCTTGTCTCAAAACTGGAGAGAAATGGATCTGATGGGTGGAACACTCACTGGATAACGAATTGGCTGGATGGTGGTGCTCAAAGGGTTGTGGTCTGTAGCTGTAGACAAGTATGTCTGAGTGGAGACCAGTGACAAGTGGTGCCCCAAGGGTCAGTGCTGGGACCAGTGCTGTCTGTCAATGACATGGACAAGTGTGATTGAGGCACCCTCAGCACAGTGCTGGCAGTGAGATGTCTGGTGGGGTGACATGCTGGAGGAAAGGGTTGGGGCATCCAAAGGGACCTGGATGGGCTGGAGAGGTGGGATCGTGTGAACCTCATGAAGTTCAGCAAGACCAAGGATGAGATCCTCCCCTGGTTGGAGTGACCTCCAGCACAACTCTGGGCTGCGGGATGAATGGAGCAGCCCTGAAGAGAAGGACCTGGGGGTGTTGTGGATGAGAAGCTCAATAGGAGTCACTTCATCAGTGATGAGGGAAAACTGACAAATGTAATTTATCTAGACTTCTGTAATCATTTGACATGGTTCTCCCCTAGTAGCCTTCTCTGCACTGGAGGAATGGATTTAACAGGTGGACTGTCAGGTGGGTAAGGAATTGGTTGAATGGCCACATCCAGGCAGTTGTGGTCAATGGCTCAGAGTTCCAGTGGACATTAATGACAGTGGTGTCCTCACAGATCTGTACTGGCATCAGTAGTGCCCTCGTGTCTGTACGGGACAAGTGTTATGTAATATCTTCATTAATGACAAATGAAGGGATCTAGGGCACCCTGAGCAGGTTTGTAGTGACACTGAGCTGAGGGGCAGGGACACCCCCGAGGGAGAGAGTCATTGAGACGGACTTGGACAAGCTCAGAAGTGGCCCATGGGAAACTGAGGAGGTTTAATAAGGACAAGTTCCAGGTGCTGCAGCTGTGTCAGGGTGACCCTGGGATGGATCCAGGCTGGGGTGAGCAGATGGAGCAGCCCTGGGAGAGTGACCTGGGGGTGTTGGTGGGTGAGACCTGGATATGCCTCAGCCAGGAACTCCCCAAGCCCTTGGCTGCTCCCCCAGTGTGGGCAGCAAGGGAGGGGGGTTCTGCCCTTCTGCCCCAATCAGGTGAGACACCACCTGCAGAGCTGCCTCCAGTCCTAGGACCCAACAGCAACAGAAGGATGTTGAGCTGCTGGAGCAAGTTCAGAAGAGGCCGTGGAGATGTTCAGAAGGCTGGAGTCCCTCTGCTCTGGAGCCAGGCTGGGGGAGTTGGGAATGCTTAGCCTGGAGAGAGATGCTCCAGGGAAGAGAAGGTTCCAAGGAGACCTTAGAGCCCCTTCCAGTGCCTAAAGGGGCTCTAGGAGAGCTGGAGAGGGACTTTGGACAGGGCATGGAGGGACAGGACAAGGGGAATGGCTTCCCACTGTCAGAGGGAAGGGTTAGATCAGATATTGGGAATGAATTTGTTCCTGTGAGGGTGGGAGGCCTTGGCTCAGGCTGCCCAGAGAAGCTGTGGCTTGCCCCATGCCTGAAAGTGTCCAAGGTCAGGTGGGCCAGGGCTTGGAGCAACTTGGGATAGTGGAAGATGCCCCCTGCCCATGACACAGTGGTGGAATGAGATGATCGTTAATGTCCCTTCCCCACCAAACCATCTTGGGATTCTATTAGTCGAGATCTAGGACTGTCCCATAGAATAAATCCTGGGGCAGAGCTGAAACCAGGGCCACCCAAAACAGCCCAGGCCAGGGCTGAATGCTCAAGCTTGGGCTCATGTGGAGCTCATGGGTCATGAGTGCATGAGGAGGTCCCAGGAGGCTGGTCAGGGCAATTCAGGTGTATTAATGGACCCTGTCAGTTTGGTTTCAGTGCTCGGCTGGTCAGGCATTGGAAGGGGCTGCCCAGGGAGCTGGTGGAGGCACCATCCTTGGAGTTGTTTTAAAGAGTGTCTGGATCTCTCTGGGTGATGTGATTTAGGTGTTATGGGGTTACAGTGGCAGTATGAGATAGACTTTGATGATGATCTTGAAGGTCTTTTTCAACTGTGATGATTCTTTGGGAGGTGGGACCCAACCCAGACCCTGGATCATGACTCATGTTGGTGGGACTGCAAAGAAAGGGAAAAAGGCAGGGAAATCACTGGGGTGTGTAACTCTGGAGCAGCTGGGAGCAGGGAGCTGCTCCTCACTGCTGCTCATCTGTCTCTTGGCAAAGGGTGAGACAGCAGGAAAAGAATTTTCCTGGCATTGAGGAGGTTGTCCAACAGAGAAGAGGTTGGATGCTCTGAGGCTGAATTTCCATGGATCTGTAGCTGAGCAGGAATCCCAGCATGTGGTTCTGGGCTGATAGGAGAGCAGTGAGAGGTTTAGGGTGTTTAACTGTAAACGCAGGAATGTACTGGTTTGGGCAGTAAAATCATAATCTTTGAGGTTGAAAAAGCCCTCTGAGATAATGGAGTCAATTTTCCCCAGCACTGCCAAGGCCACTATTAATCATATCCTGTAAGTGCCACATGCACATGTTTTTTTTAAATCCCTCCAGGACTGGTGACTCCACCATTGTCATGGGCAGCTGTGCCAGGGCTGGACAACTCTTCTGGGAAGAAATTTTCCTATTGTCCAACCTGAACCTCAGTCTGCCTTCCTGGTTCATCACAGTGACATCAAGTTACAGAGAAATTTCTGTTCTCTGGGCAGGAATTGCTTCTGGGAGCAGCAGGTTGGATGTCTGTTGGCAGGCTCAACCTGTCTGTGTTTCCAGGGATCCATGGCTGTTGCAGCGTGTGCTGTGCGGGGCGGCTGCGGCAGGGCCGCGACTTTCCCTGCGAGTGCTGCAATTCCAATTATCAGCAGGGACAGACAGCGACGACACGGGGCTTGGGTAGAACAAGATGGATTTATTCCTGGCTCCCAGACAAGACTGGGGGGAATGAACAGAAGTTTTATACAGCAGCTCAGGAGTAGGGTGTAGGAAAGTGAACAGTGAGGATATGGTAAGGGAGGAGTGTAAGATGGGCAAATAGCTTATGAGCCTATCAGGGAAACCGGGGGCAGGGAATAATACGAAGTACCAAATGGGGTGCTGAGGGCAACAAGACAGACACAAAACTCTCTGGAGAAAGGGCAGGATAGGGAGGATTGACAACTTGGAAGGGAGGAGGTTAGGGAAGGGCTTGGGAAAATTGGCAACTGGGAAAGGGAGTGGATTAGGGAGGAGAACAGGGGGCAAACATGGCTTCAAAGCAAAACACACCACAACACATGGCGAAAGCATTGAAGGGGAGGTGAGCAAAGCCCTGTGGGCAGGCAGATGCCTTCTAGAGCCTCCTTGAAAGCTACATGAATGCATCAATTGGATTTTTCTTCTCCCATCATAATCAGGCAAAGTGCTCTCTCCTCCTTCTCCACAGGGATCCAATCGCTGTTGCACCATCTCTTGCTTAAACCATTGTCTAATGAGCCTTGGGGAGCAAAGGATTCTCTCAGCTGTAACTTCGCATTTTCTACATTGGAGCAGTTAATCGGGATCTGGGGTTTACCTATTCCCTGCTTAGGAAGTGGTAGCCAAGTGTGCAGCTCTCCAGGGTGACTGAGATCCCAAGGATTCATCAGCAGGTAAAATACAATACTTGAGAAACCTTCCCAGCCATGGAGCCCAGGTTCTCTGTGACTCCATGTGAATCACGTCCACCTGTCCTCTCACCCCACTGCCCTCAGTAGTATGGCATCTTTTGCCCCAAATGTTTTCTACCCTGTGGATTGTCTGAACTGTGGGTGAACCAGGCTGGAGATGCAGTAACAGGATGGATTAATCCCATTTAAATCTGGAAGAAAAAAGCTACTCAGGGAACTGCTGGGGTTTCCAGGAGGCCTCCAGCTTAGACTAATTTCTTTCCAGGTGCTTTGGTCTGCTCCTCCAGGAAGGGAAGATGCTAACGTAAGGTATTCTGGTGTGGGAGGAAATGTGCTGGAACTCATGTACAAGCCTGAGCAGTAAACTTGGGAAGGGAACTGAGCTATTCCTGCTAAGCAGGGCTCAGAGGCAGCTGTGGAGGTACTTGGTTGTCTGTGTGCAACCAGATATCCCCTCAATCTGCTGTACTTTGGTAGAATTTGAGATACTTGTTTTTAAGGCTTCTGGCTTGGCCTGGGCATGAGTGTGGGAGGTTGTCCCTATGGATTGACCCCAGAAGCAGCTGGTGTGTCTGGCACTTACAGGCTCATGGCACTCAGCCTCTGGAGCACACAGACACTCCAAGGGTTGGATAAGTGCTGTCAGCACTCCGGGAGCTGCTGGAAGCAGCTGGAGGAAGGAGCAGCTGGCTTAGGTTGGAAGCTCTCAGGGAGCACCAGGGATCTCGAGAACATGAGAACAGGGGATGCGCTTCTGGGGTGTTTAAGCGACAGCTTTGGCTCGAGAGGGAACAGGACATGGGCTGCCTTGGCCAACTCTTCCACCTGTCTAACAGAACTTGGCATGAGAATTCCTGGGTCAACCTGCCTTTCAGCTCCAATAACTGCCAGGGAGAGGGAGGGAAGGAAGGCCAGGTGGACAGGGCCTGGAACAAGCTGGAAGGCATCCTTGTGCATGGCAAGGGATGGAATGGGATGGATTTAAGGTCCCTTCTGAGCCAAACCCTTCTGGGATTCCATGGCTGTGTGGTTCCTGCTGCTCCCTGTCACTCCTCTGCAGAGCCAGCACAGGGCTGCCCTTCCAGCAGGAGGGAGCTGCTCAGCTGCCTCTTGATCTCCAGAGCAGGCTGTGGTGTGAAGAGGTTTTTCCCTATGGGCGGCTCAAAGGATGGGGTGGCTTTGGGGTCCATCCCAAACTACAGGGCATAGATCAGCCCCTGGGCCCTAGGGGAGCAGAGGTGAGGCTGGAGGCTCTGCCATCTAAAAGGATTTGGCCTGAGGAACACTGGAGAGAGGAGGGTGAGGGAGGTCAACTGAGTGTGGAGGAAGAGATGAGGAGACACAACCGAAGAGATACAACTCATTAATAACCTTCATTTAATCCTTCATAACATTGGAAAATGTAGAAATGTCACAGACTCATTCACAGTACTGGTAACATTTGCAAAGCTGTGCAAAGCCCTTGATGTCAAGTACAAGACAATCACTTCATACTTTTTTTAATATAAATGTTTAGAAATAACAGCTGTTATTGCTAATAAATTCCTGAGTTCTCTCCATCCATCAGATGCTCCCTGCTATGAGCAGTGCCTGCTCCTCTGCCCTGAAGCTCCCAGGGCTTTCATGCAGGGTCTGGCCCTGCAGGCTGACCACGGCTCGCAGGGAGATTTTCTGTGGAGGGAAAGCAAAGGGAGTTCCTGTGAGTGGCTCCTTCACTGCCTTGGCACTGGGAAGTTCCATGGCCAGAGGAAACACCAAAGATTTTTGTGAACACCAACAGATCAGAACCATAAGCCTGGCTCCTAGCTGTGCTCTGGATTGTCATCATTTGCCTTGTCCTGGAGGAAAAGGCCCGTGTGTCTGTGACAGGTCTGGAAGTGAAGTCAGTCAGGGCCAGTCAAGGCTAGTTAAAGCCAGACTGATGCTGGAGCAGGGACAGACACAGCAGGGACAGACTCTCTGGGGGTCATTTAGAGCTGCTTATGGGTCTCCAGCCCTGGTGACTGATCCATGCCAGGTTAATGGCTGCACTCCATCACCTTAAAGGTCTTCTCCAACCAAAACAATTCCATGATCCCATAAAATCTAAGGATGCCCTGCTGCACCACACTGGGCTATTCAGAAACAGAGAATGCTAACTTCATTTTACCTGGAAGTCACGGATGTAGGTGAGGAAGAAGCTGAGGAAGGAGAATGCCAGAGACCATTCAGAGACGGTGCTGATGATGTGGGGGGTGTAGCCCTATGTTACAGAGGAGAAAAAAAATCTGTGTGAAAACTGCTCTGAAACCTGCAGTGGCACAAGGATGGTTTGTGACTTCTGACATCCCATGTGACATCTTGGTATCCAGAACTATTCCCACTGGAAACCAAAATCCCTTATTGTATCTGGAATCTCCAAGAATGAAGTGCTAAAGAATGAGAATGACCAGGAAAACACCGGCTCTAACTGGGATGATGCCCACTGGAAATTTAATATGCACCTACAAAACCTGAAGACTCAATCTAGAGCTCAACTAACAAAGAGCAGAGAGGTTCAAGGCCCTCCTCAAGATGCAGGAGGGATTGAAGATCCAACAGTTTTGTGCAATCAGAACTTCAGCAAGCGCTGGCACAGGCTGCCCAGAGCAGCTGTGGCTGCCCCATCCCTGAAGTCCAAGGCCAGGTTGGACGGGGCTTGGAGCAGCCTGGGATAGTGGGAGGTGTCCCTGCCCATGACAAGGGGTGGAACTGGATGGGTTTAAGGTCCCTCCCAACCCATCACAGTCTGGGATCCCACAATTCCAAGGAGCTGCTGGCTGGTTTGGCTGGCACAGCTCTCTCCTCTACCATTCCAGTTTGTGTTGTGACCTGCAAGAAGTTCCCACCTGTTCCTCCAAATCCAGCTAGATTTGGTCTCCATTCCTCTCCCCACCCCCCATCCCCCCCCCCCCCCCAATCACTTACTCTTTCCTGGGGGTCCCAGTGCAGCTTCTGCACCAGGTTCTGTCCATACAATCCACTGTACAACACAACCGAGGACACAAACACTGAGGGAAGAGGTTAAGGAAGATTCAAAGCCAAGAATGAGGAACATGGAACTTGCAGACTGTGTTGAGCTGAGGCTATGAGGTCTCAGCCAGAGGAGCAGTAATGGTGTCATGGACTGTTCACATTGTGCCGTTCAACCCGTAGCTTGTCCCAACCCACTGGTTACTGTCATGTGGAAAGGTTAATTTGAACCTAAACCCATTATTTCTGTTCTCTGTGTGCTCCCTCTTGTTATTCCTCTGATCAAACGCAGTGCTCTCATGGGAGTGTTTAAGCTATGATTAGATGTGCACACTTACTGAGCATTTTAATTTAATTTTATTGGTATTTCCCATCTTAATGAGTCTGGATCTCTTTCTCTGATGGCTTGTCAATGTCTCGACTACCTTGCATTCTTGCTGTGGGCCACAGGTTGGAATTCTGTATCACCTGCAGCAAAGAGGATTTTTGGCTTTTCTGTTTCTCTCTAAGTCAAGGTTTGAGAAGTGCTTTGGATTTCATGCCATGTGAGAATGATCCCCCATTTAATCCAAGACCTATATCCTTCTGGAGTGTTTGATGTCACTTCTTCAACATCTTACAGAGGGAAGGTACCCAAAAAAGTGCTCCTGCTACACCACAAATGAAACTCAGATAATTGATTTATAGACAACCTGATTTTCATAGGATTAAGATATTAAATTCTTCAGTAGTTAATGAGAATAAACACGAAGAGCCTCCTGATGTGAAAAATTAATTTTGGTAGTGAACAAGGCTGGACTTCCTAGCACAAACATGGCCTTAAGAACCCAGACTTGCAAAGCTTATTTAAAAATGGATGTGAGTGGTTTAGCAGCTCTGGTTACTGACTGGACCATAGACACCCAATTTTCTGCTTAATTGAACTGGGCAGCTCTAGGAACTGTTTGTTATCTGCCTGAGTTCCTGCTGCAGTGGGAAGAATTTAATCATTGTGATATAAAAATAACTGGTTCCCATTTCCCCCCCTGCCCCCCCATTACAGTGGGTCATCAGCTGCCTTGCTCTGGGCTGGCAGTTCTGCTGTTACACTCCACCACAGGACCAGAAATATTTTCATAGATTCAGAGAATTATTTAGGTTGGAAAATACCTCTGAGGTTGAGTCCAATTGTTCCCCAAGGCCAAGGCCACCACAAACCCACGTCCCCAAGTGCCACATCCACATGCCTTGTAAACCTCTCTAGGGATGGTGACTCCATCACTGCCCTGGGCAGCTGTGCCAATGCCTGACCAACCTTTCTAGGAGAAATTTTTCTTATATTCAACCTGAACCTCTCTTGACATAGCCTGAGGCTGTTCCCTCTTGTCCTGGCCCTTGCTCCCCAGCAGCAGAGCACAACCCCGTCCAGGCTGCCTCCTACTGTCAGGGAGTTGTGCAGAGCCAGAAGATCTCCTCTGTGCCTCTTCTTCTCCAGGCTGAGCCCCCCAGCTTCTCCCTCAGCTGCTCCTGGTGCTGCAGACCCTTTCCCAGCTCCATTTCCCTTCCCTGGACATGCTCCAGCCCCTCAGTGTCTCTCTTGTCAGGAGGGGCCCAGAGCTGTCCCCAGGACCAGAGCTGTCCTCAGGACCAGAGCTGCCCCAGCAGTGCCAGCACAGGGAATGGGCACTCCTGTTCCAGAGCTGACACAAAAAACATTTCCTTCTGTCTTCCAGTACCTGTTACACCCATTTAACCCAAGGCCACAGACTTCTCCCATTCCCCATCTTTCCCTTATTACATTATGAGCTGTTAATTTAGAATAATAATTTCCCTTTTCTTCCTCTTTCATTGTTATATATGTACACATCATTACTTCTACAACTTCCCTATAATTTTGGTTAGACTACATTGGCACAAAACCCTCTAAAAATCTGAGGTTTGTGGGCTTTTGGCAACTGTAAGAGGAACATAACTTGCAGCAGATCATACTGTTCATAGAACATATTTAGTTACACCCATTTGGTTCCTCCCTATTCAAAGCTGAAAATCTTGGTTGCTAATACCAAAAATTTCTGATAAATACAAAAATTCTCCAAGTTTCTCAGATGATTTCCTTGCTTGTCTGCCAAGGCCCCTCAGCAGGCGAAGGTCCTTCATGGTGGATAACAAGCCTGTGCCCCACTGTCCCAGCTCCTCTGACTCCTTACAGATTCTATAATCCTGCAGCAGCAGGGATGGGAGCCCAGGGAGATGCTCCAACCTTGGGAAATGGGACATACGGTTTAGTGTTGCTATTGGCTGCCAGCCTGGAAATATGTGGGATTAGTGGGGATTAAATCAGTGGCCGGGATACAACTGCAGATGGGACAGTGTTTAAGCAATGGGTTTTGCAACTTGTGTCTCTGGAATTCGGGAAGTTTGGTGTTACTGTCCTGTTTGACACAAGAACTGAGTTTAATTTTTAAATCCAATTTCAAGTCCATTGTGGTGAGCAGGAGAATTATTCTGGTGCAGTTTCCTGACTGTTTCAATGATTCGGGAGAGGAAAAAGGCCTCTATTTCTGAGTGCGTTTGCCCACATTTTTATATAAATAAATGGATAAATGTTCCGGAATGGATTCCCACTGAGAGAGGGCAGCACTAGCACGTCCCTTCAACACAAACAATTCTGTGTTTCTCTCTTTCTCTAAACCCCACAGCTGCTTCCAGCACTTGGAATTCAGCACTAAAGGGGTTGGACTCTGATGCTGATGGCAGGTGGTAGAGAATGCCAGTCAGAAATATCTTGTCTTTTGAACTGCAGAATGGGCAGGGAGGAGATCAGAAGTCAAAGTCCCCCCACCTTCCGACTCACCCTTGAAATGTGCTCCAGACTTGTCTCCCTGGCAAGTGCCAGCATATCATCCCTATTCCAGAGCCAGCTGGCACAGCCAGCCCTGCTCCACGTGGTCTGTTTTCCTCTTGTGCTACATACTGGGTTTCTTTTTCAGTTGTATCCTAATCTAACATTCTGCACCATTTTTGTCCTCAGGAACACACTTTTATTTCTTACCTATTTTTCCCCCATTGAAACCACCCATCCCTTAAGCACAGTTCCCTTTTTCCCCATATTTCTTAATTTAGTCAGACCCCTTATTTTTCCTATTTTCAGTCTCTGGTGTGCAGTAGGAAAGGGGAGGAGAAAGGGTAGTAACTGTCCCTCTTACCTTTTTTTTTTTTAATATCCAGGGGGGAATATTAAAATTATTAAAGGGATTACCCATTTTCCCTGAAATTCCCAGGCTGGAATACAGAACAGGGCATTCTATAGGGTGTACAATCAAGGATGACAGGCCTCTTGTGGCACATGGTGGTTGTTCAGTTCAAGTAGGTGTAAATCCTGTGGACACTGTTGGGTTTTGGTGCCACTGCCCAGGCAAAGGATACTGCTCAAGATGCTGGAACAGCTCCACAGGAACACGGCCAGGCGGGCCCAGAAGATGTCTTTGCTGTGAAGTTCTGGCTGCATCAGGTAGGACAGGATGGTCTGAACCAGCATGTAAATGGACCCCACCCCAAAGGTCAGGCAGGCTCCCAGCACGTGGATGTAGTACAGGATGCATTTCTAGGGAAAGAAAGTGCTGCCTGTGAAAACCTGGTTTCGTTTTCTTCTGTAAACCTCTGGCATCCACCCCTCAGTGACCTTCTCCCATTCTGAGCTAAGCAGTTCGGGACTGTGGCAGTCCTCAGGAGACTTTTTTTGGAAGCCCCATTGGAAGATGTCTGGAAGTTAGAACCTGCCAGCCTCTGGAACTTCTGGTTTTGTTAAGTTCTTGTGGTGAAGTTACAGGTCACAGCTGTACCTTCAGTACAGGAATTTATGAGAGCTCTTCTCATAAATAGACAATATCATAGGAATTGGGTGAGAGAACCTCTGCAGATAGGCAGGGAGTGAGAGTGACAACATTTCAGGAACCTGTGCATCTATAAAAGATTATGTAATACAGGGCAGATACAACACAATTCTAGCACCCAGTTTTGGATTAAAAATAATGAGGTTCTTTGAATGAATTCCGGTTTGAATAAAGATTGTTTATCAAATTAGGATCTTGTAATACTCTGAAGGAACAACGTTGAATCAAGCAGCAATACTTAAAAACACCACCAAGAGAACCAAATGTCAAATAGCAAAAATAACTAAAACCAGTAGATATTCCAAAAAATCCAACTCAACTAAAAAATTATTATTAAAATATGTGTGTGAAAGTGCACGTGTGTTCAGCCCTTTCCTCTCATCCCCAGCTTAGCACATGAGCCAGAGAGAAGGAACAAAAAGTGTCATCTGACCTGTTGCACAAGCCAAGGCCCAGCAGCCTCCCTGCACCCCAATTGTGCAGATGTTTCCTTCCCAAAAACATGAGGTTCTCTGTGTATCTTACTGAGTAACTCTTAAGATCAAGCCTTTCCTTGTGTACTTTCTGTGCACAAATATATTTTAAGCGCTGCATCCACAGTGAAAATTTCTATTTAAGAAATATGCAGGTTGCAAAGGTGTGTGCTCCAATATCATGTACTGTGCAGGGAGGTGTCAGCAGAGAGAAATTCTCCATTTTCACATTTTGGGGTCTTCACTCACCAGTGGATTTCAGGGCAATATGCAAGAGCATCACTTCCAACTTTTGTTTTGCTCAAGATTAAACCATACAAGAACTGTTACCAAATTAACAGGCACCTCCTGGGTTTTGATTGTTGTGAAATGCAAAGAAAGTAGAAAAACCCTTTCTTGAGGGCAGTGGAGGGAAATCATAGAGTTGAGCAGAGCCTGGAGGTTTCTTCTTGGTGTGTGTGGAATGGGAGCCTGGACCTCTGAGGGCTCTAGAAAATAGTAAATAGATTGAGGCCTCCAAAAGAAAAAATGCCTAGAATGAGAGTGGTGAGGTTTCTAAGACAGTGGCTGCTGAAGCACTTGAGGAGCTGTGCTAGGGAAAAGGTGGAGCTTTCCAAGAGTTTTTCTTCTTTGGTTTTCTCTGTCCCTAATACAGCAGAAGTCTGAGGTGACACTGCAGCCTGTGGTGGCTACAGGCACCACAACAGAGCCCCAAAATCCATCAGGTAATTAATGTGATAAGGCTGGAAATTATACAATCACCTGGCAAATAAAGCCAACAATGGGGACCTATTCAAGGTGTGATGGGTCAGAATATCAGATTTGGGTTTTTTTTTAGTGGAAAGTACTGGGGAGCAGAAAAAATACAAACCTGGGATGGAGAAAATCAGAAGAATTAATGTTGCATAATTTTCAAAAATTTGAGAAGGTCTGAAGGAAAATCTACCCAAGAAGGCAGGTTTTCCAGAGCTGGGCTTGTGGGGTTGGGTGGTTTTGTTGGCTTTACTTCTAGTTGTAACAAGTTTTTAATACTTTTTATACTATTTGATACCTGATTCTCCTGAGCCCCGGTTGCAGGTTTTCAATCTGGACCTCAGGTTTTCAGCCTGCCTGGAAGGAGATCCAAGTGTGACTTCTGCAATGCTTGGTGGTTATGAATGTTTTGAAATGTCATGAACAGCTGCTTACAAGTCCCAAAGCAAATAAGGAATAACTAACAAATTAAAAGTCAAACCTTATATTTTTTAACTGTTCTCTGTAGAGAATTTCACAGAAAAGCAGTTTTTGCCAGTTTCCGTAAATATGCAGTTTATCAGATATGACATCAGGTATCGCAGAACAGACCCAGCTCTGGCAGGGGCAGAGCAGTGCATGTGGAGCACAAACCTGGAAATTTGCAATAATGCAGAGTCCAAAGCAGCTCATCCATCCCAGCATGAGGCCCAGCTTATTCAGCCTGAGGATCTTGGGTTTTTCTGGGCTCAGGGCAGACACTTGTTTGTACCGGACGTACATGGTGGCCATCCCTGCCAAAGACAGCCACAGGCAGTGAGATTCCTGCTGGGGAGCAGTGGCCTTGTTTACCTGGGAAGATGCTGAGTGACAGAGGCAACTTTTAAAATACAATAATTTTTTAGGGCACAGTGAAATAGGAAAGCTGAAAGGCTGGACGTGAAAATTGAAATAATATAATGGCAAACAAGTCAAATTATTAGATTTTTTTGGATCTATTTCATTTAAAAGCCATATTAGGTTGTTTTCCCTCCCTCCATTGTTGTAGCACAGGTAAGGTGACTGCCTTGAATTTGCATTTTTATGTATTTTACTTTTCTGTTTGTTGTTTTGAATGCATTTTTTGTACTTACGGAATCTGCAATTGCATACTGACAATTCGTGGATAACATCCCTGACACACACTTTGAATTGCTTAAGAGAAGTGAGATTTATTGCTTAGTATTTAGTTTTTGAGTAAGAATTCTGGGCTGTTTAATGATCTGGAGAAGGAAGTGAACTTTTTTAAAGCTGTTGCGTTACAGAACTTCCTGCACCACACCAAGGACAGTTTTCTGTACTCACCCAAGAAGGTTGAAACATTTAACATGATCCCAAATAAGCATCTTTCAGGTGGTATTGTCCCTGTATCACTGGAAAAGATAAATGGAGTGATACATATCCTATATTATTTATATTAAAAATACTTCCAACACAACTTTACTTATTTCAGTCTACAAAGGACATGTAAAAGAAGTGCCTCCCAGGTGATTTTCACTGAATTTTTCATTACTCAAACTATGCTGTGCTGGTTTTAGAGCTGTAGAAATCACCATGGTAAAGACAAGCTCGTCTTGGAGCAGGGAATGATCATGCTCTGAGTAACTCTTCCTTTTATATCGGTCTTGATGCCATAAATTGTGAATAAAAAGGATTAAAACTGGAAAAATAAAGAACACGGAAAACTGAAAGAGCAAAGCTTGAGTTATATCTATCGGCCTTGATAGAATAAAGTTGGCAATGTAGATTTTAGTATGGATTTTCTGGTGCAACAAACCTGGAGGCAGCAAGTGGCTTCACTCTGAGCAGGGATGTGGTGAGGCACCCCCAGTTCATCATCATTTTAAGGGTATGTTCACAGAGCCAAAGCTTAGAGTTTTGCACAAAACCAGACACCTTTAAATAGAGTAACACACAAATCCCAGAATGGGTTGGGAAGGACCTTGAAGTTCATCTCAACTATCTTATTCCAACCAGGGGCACGTTCCACCATCCCACACTGCTCCAAGCCCTGTCCAACCTGGCCTTGGACACTTCCAGGCATGGGGCAGCAACAGCTTCTCTAAGCAACTTGTGCTGGATTCACCACTCTCACAGGGAAGGAATTTCTTCCTAACATTTAACCTGAATTTCCCCTCTGTCAGTTTAATGTCACCCATAATTATATATACAATGGCTATAAGAAGTTACTTTAGAACTGGAGCTGTTAGGTAAGAACTGCTATTTAAGTCTGGAGTAGGGAAGAATTCACAGGAGTGGGGTCAGTTCAGTGCTCTGACGCAGGTCAGACATCACTGACCTGATGTAGGGCACCAAAGGGTCAACGTGGTGCAGGACAATTGCAGTAATGTAGGAAAACACAAACGATGCTGCTGACCACACAACCAGCGCCACAGGCAGGAATGAGAGGCCTTGCTGGAACCACCACATTTCAGGGCTGACTTCTGCCACCAGACACTGTGAAGAACCAAATGCAAAATATTACTAAGAGTTCTCAAATGTTTACTGAGATTATCAAATTGAATGAGTTCTCAAGGGTTTATTGAGAGTTCTTAAAGGTTTACTGAGATTCTCAAAGGTTATCTAGGATTTTACTATGAGGACTGAAGTTTTGCTTTCCTTGAGGCAGACTGTTTCCCATACAGCAGTTTGATAATTGCTCTCAGTCCTCTCCTGAAAACCCAAAGTGAACGCTGACTTCACAGAAGCAATCATAAATAAGCAGAATTAAATCTGGAAATGTTAATTCTGAAATATTAGAGTATCATTAGAAACCAGTACTGTCATTTTTCTACGTGGCTTGGATTTTTTGCTGCCAGAAAAGGGTCATGTGGGTCGCTGTGAGTAACTGACTCAATTTTCTTCTCAGCCTTGTGTCATAACAACAGGTCAGTAGAGTGAGCTGACAGAGAACATGTCCCTGCACTGACAGTGCAACTGATGGTGGCTGTGGTGGAGCCTCCAGCTTCTACTAACACTTAGCTGGGTAGATGTGGAGGAAATGTCCCAAAATTACTTTAATACCTGCCCTCAATTATTCCCTGTCAGACTCTGTGACTTGACATCTGTTATAGAGTCCCAGGGCTGGAAGGGACTTTAAACCCCATCTTGTTCCACCTCCTGCCATGGGCAGGGACACCTTTCACCATCCCAGGTTGCTCCAAGCTCTGTCCAACATAGCCTTGGACACTTCCAAGGATGGGGCAGCCACAGTTTCTCTGGACAACCTGTGCCAGGGCCTCACCACCCTCACAGGGAGGAATATCCCAATATCCCATCTAACCCTGACATTAGTTGCGCACACATAGGTTTTATTTTCTACTCTGAGTCCTCTTTGCTTCACAGTCTCATTTTGTTGTCCCTCCATAACGTGCTGATGGGCTCTCTCAAAGCACTGCGGGGGGTTTCCTGGGCTCACTGTGTTTATGCTGAGCAAACAGCTCCCTTTCCCCACAACTCTTCCTCCCATCCTGTCTAGATTTGGGTATTGCCAAGGAGAAGCCTGTGCTGAGGTACCTCACACAGTGGGACATAAAATGGCTTTGACATTCTGCAACAATTTTTAAAAATTAATTTGTTTTTTAAATGTATCAATGTTTAGGATGAAATGTCAGTAAAAATATAAAAACCCTTCATAATTTAGATTAAATCAAAACTGAAGTAATGTTTAGATCTATTTATTCTATGCTGTAAATATAAGTTTTGGAAGATATCACTGATGGAGGTTTGAGAACATGAAACCCAATTCTTCTGTGGAGAGTGAATCAGAACTTTCCCATGGATTGTAATATCAACAATAACAATACCAATATTAACAAGGCAGGGGCACCTTTCACTAGAGCAGGTTGCTGAGCTCCATCCAGCCTGGCTTCACGACCTGTCAGCTATCTGAGTTCACTGCTACCAACCACAACTCTCAAACTCAAGGGTTGCCCACAGCAGTTGCTCTTTTACAGGTGGGAGGAAAAGATCCATGTGCAGTGCAGTGAAATTATGACTCTGTACTCACACGTCCAATTCCCTAATCCCACCCTGACAGCAAATCTGTGTCTCAACTCACTTCTCTAAGAGCAAGAAGGGCTCTTAACTCTAGTGAGCTCACACAGAGAACTGTGACTCCTCCCTACTCTTGCTGCAAAAACAAAGTAATTTGATACTAGCTTCAACCACAACCAGAGCTATTTCAGCCTCCCAGTATGGCTGGGGTGGGAGGGGGGCGAAGGAGCTCTGGAAGTCAACTGGGCCACCTCCCTGCTCAAGCAGGGCCACCAGAGCCAGTACTGCCAGATGACACCCCAAGGATGGAGATACCACAACCTTTCTGGGGAGCCTGGGATGACCAGTGCCAGTCACCCTCACAAAGAAGAAGTGTTTCCTGATGGTCACCGGAGAGAATAGGAGAAAAAAGTGTTTCAATGTAGTTAAAACTGGAGACTGTAAATGGAAGATGAAAAAGGACAAAGGTGAAGAGCAAATAGTGGAGAGTGCACATCCAAGGGCATCCAGGCAAATATCTGTATGTGATAAAACAAAATAATGTTGAAACAAATTAGAAGGAAGTTTAGAAGGGCATGGCCTGGGGTGGAGAGGCTGAAAGAAAGGAGGAAGAGAAAAGGAAGAAAGAGGAAGCACCAAGACTAGAATGTCTCATGGAGAGAAAAAAGTTGAAACAAAAGTGGGTGAATCTTGCAAGAGATCAGAGCTGGTCAACCTTCACAACTCTTGCACAGAATGGACAACTACAGCCTTGTAGAGGTGAAGGTTCAGCCGCTTGTGAAAAAGCTGTTTGGTGACAGGTAAACGTGTTTAAGGATTTGTAGTGAATTCAAGTTCCCTGATCTCTTGCCCATTTTTAAGCTAAATATAAAGTCTGCCATCTGATCATGATTTTAAGACTGCAAGCAGTAATCACTGTAACTTCAAAATCCCATCTCTAGTATATTGGGAATTTGAAAGAGAAATGCGGATTTTGCATGACATTCTCTGTTATAAACGTTATGCTCCTGGGCATGTAATCCCTTGCTCCAACCAGTCAGTCCGAATATACTTTTCATTTCACATTTAAATATTCATAGTGCCTTAATTTTATTTCTGAGCTAACATACTTTCCCCTGCAAACAAACCAACCAACCAACGAACCAACCAGCCACATTCCACATACCTGAGAAAAAGGACATCAGAAGACATGCCACTTAAGGGGAATCCAAGGTCATTTTTCTGCTGAAGCTCCAGGTTTGCTTCATTTTTGTAACTCTGAGATATAAAGGAAAATAAGCAAGATGTGAGGTACTTCTGTACCTCTTGCCATGTTTCTTCTTCTTAGCCCCTTCTGTTAGTCACTGCTACTGACTGGACACAGATTAGACTGTTGGTTTGCCCCACAGTGTTTTTCCTGCATCCCAAGTGGTTTAAAGAGTGAAGCTTGTGTGTAGTGGGAAGGTAGAAATGAAGAAAAACTGGTGGTTAAGGCTCTTTGATTTTAAGAGTTGTCTACACAAGCATTTAACTTGAAATGAAGACCTTTCAAGAGATGAAGTGAATGCAACTAAGTGCCTAATGCAACAGTGCCTAAGACCACAGCTTTCATCTAAGAAAGGGAACAGAACATGGAGACTTCCCATTTCACTGTGGTCACACAACCCAGTGTCCTGCTGGTGCAATGCTAAATACATGGCTGGAGAGGGGCTGGAGCAACCTGAGTGTCACAGGACCATTTAAGTTGGAAAAGACCTCTAAGATCATCAAGTCTAAATGTTCCTCTGGCACTGCCAAGGCCACCACTAAACCACATCCCCATGTGCCACATCCACAGCTTTTAAATTCCTCCAGGGATGGTGACTCCACCTCTGCCTTGGACAGCCTATGCCAATGCTGGACAACACATTTCAGGAAGAAATTTTTCCCAATATCCAACCTGAACTCCCCCTGGTGCAGCTTGAAGCCGTTTCCTCTTGCCCTGGCCCTTGTTGCCTGGGAGCAGAGCCCAACATCCCCCTGGCTGTACCCTCCTGCCAGGGAGTTGTGCAGAGCCAGAAGGTCAGCCTTGAGCGTCCTTTTTTCCAGGCAGAGCCCCCCAGCTGCTCCTGGTGCTCCAGACCCTTCCCCAGCTCAGTTCCCTTCCCAGCCCCTCAAAGTCTCTCTTGCCAGGAGGGGCCCAGAGCTGTCCCCAGGACTGGAGCTACCTCAGCAGCGCCAGCACAAGGAACCATGCTGGGCCTTCTGGGCACACCACGGCTGTGACAGTCCAGATGCCACTGGCCTACTTCCCCACCTGGGCTGATGTTCAGCTACTGTCACCAGCATTCCCAGATCCTTTCCCAGCTTTTCAGCCACTCCTTTCCCAGCTTGGAGTATTCCATAGGATTGTTGTGACCCAAGGGCAGAACCTGACATTGGTCTTGTTGACTGTCCCACTGCTGGCGTCCGCCATGGATTCATCCCGTTCATTTAATCAGACATTCTGTAACTCCTGACTTTTCTTCCCACAGGTTTGAGGCACCGCCTTGGGGATGCAGAGGGGCTGAAGCTCTGTGGGGATGAAGCTCACAGACAATGCAGATTCTCTACCTGTTGAGGGTATTTACATGCCTGTGCAGATTAATTTACCTGGGCCAGGAAAAGCTTAGTAAAGCAGGACAGCTATCCCAATTTCTCCCTGCATATTGCCCTTACTACAAAATAAACATGTCCACACAGGCAGCTCATCAGCACTGCTCCAAAGCAAGCTGGGCAGCAGAGGAGCCCTCACTCTGTTAGGACTGGAAATCTGTCTACCCTGAGCTGTTGCTGTGCCCAGAGCTGAGCCCTGCACATGACTTACCATCATTTTCATGTGGTCTGGCACAAAGAGCTCCTTCAGCCACACCACAGAGCACTGCTGAGATTCTTATTGAGAGTGTATGTGCAGGCTGGCGGAATCATGGAATCTCCTGAACTGGAAGTGACCCACAAGGATCACATCCAACCCCTGACCTGCACAGACACCCCAACAATCCCACCCTGGGCATCCCTGAGAGCACTGTCCAAACACTCCTGGAGCTCTGGCAGCCTCGGGGCTGTGCCCATTCCCTGGGCAGCCTGGGCAGTGCCAGCACCTCTGGGGGAAGGACCTTTCCCTGATGTCCAGCCTGACCCTCCCCTGGCACAGCTCCAGCCATTCCCTTGAGTCCTGTCCCTGGTCACAGAGAGCACAGATCAGAGCCATCCTTCAGGAGAAATATGCAGCCCCCCAGGAGGATCATCCTGACAGCACCAGTTGGGCTCTGCCTCTCTTGTCTTCCCCAGCAGAAACCCCCTCACTAACTCTCCTTACACTAGAAACAGTTTTATAAATTTCTTTTCCTTTAAATCTCTTATGTCAGTCAAGATCTACCCTGAGTTCTCATCTCCCTACATCTCTCTCCTCATTAAATATTTTACAGTGGAATCAAGTCAGTTTTCCCACTGTTCTGGGGGCAGACTGTACAACTCTAACACAGGCTTCACTCTGCAAATCCCTGGGCACAGTCAGGGCATGGTGTACTCCAGGCTGTCCCAACTTCCTGCTGTGCAGCTGCCCTGCATCCCTGCCAACTCCCAAACTCTGTCTGGGTACAGAAAGAGGCACCTCCAAACACCAGGAGGCAGAAAGGTATTGCCATGTGTGCCAGATGCAAGATCCTGAGATAAATTATTATTAACACCTCGTCCTATCCCATTGTTTTCAACAGGGAGAAGGAAAAGACACACTCAAACTCCTTGTTTTTTCATAACCTCCCTTCCAAGCAGATTATGCAAGACCAATGGCCAGCCTCAATTTTCCATGTAACTATAATTTTCTTAAACATTTATCCTGATCTTCAGGCACTTTGGAGTGCTAAGGGTTTTTTTTCCAGTTTGACTATCACAGATTGTTTCCAACATCAAGAGCTAGTGAAGAAAGTGTTTCAAAAGCCAAGGAGATTTTAACCCTCTCTAAAGTCTTTTCCCAGTGCCAGATTGCAGCCACGCCCTACCCGGGCAGCAGCATGTGGACAGAATCTCCAAAGGAAAATGAAAGGTGGACAAGACCATCAAGGGCAGAAAGTTCACATTACCTGGAATGACACAGCTGCAAAGATGGTTGAATTATGAGGGGAAAAGGGAAATTCCTGAATTACTGATGATCCCTGGGTTGTCAGCCTGCCTCTTCGCTGCTCTGTCAGCCAGACAGGCAGAGATAAAGCCCTACCAAGGGACACTTCCTTTTGTCTCCAGCAAATTGTCCAGTGGACAGTGCTGAGGGAAGGACAGAGGAATTTGTCTGTGCCTTCCTAACCAAACAGAAGCTGGATGAGGCTGTGTCTGAACAGCCTGCACGGGTCAGGTCCGACTGATAAGCCACGGGTAAAGGTCACTGATCCTCAAAGCACTGACGTAAGGAAGTAGGAAATGTGTTACCTCTGCTGCCCCTGCTGCAGGGTAATGACAGGTGACCCATTTTGAGTGTTTTCTCAGTACAGACACCAAAACAGTTTCCATGAAATCTTTCAATCCTGTGGGGCAGCTTCCAGGGGGTCTCCATGTTCTGGCCCTGATCTTGTTCCCTGGCTGGGAAGACACAGCATGGCCTGGAGCCAACCCAAACAGTACTAGGCCCAGGACACTGTGATACAGGATGTACCCAAGCCTGCTCGGGACACCCAGCACACTGTGACAGTGGCTGGGCGTTCCGGCTGATCCAGGAGCTCAGTGTCAGGGAAGAACCCACGGAACTGGCCAATCCCACCTGCCTGACCACAGTTTCAGCTACAAACACCTGAGTCCTCGGAGCAGAGCCACCGGGAGAGTCCCATGGGGACAGCTGGGACTGGAGTCACTGCAAGGTCACACGGGGAGTGGGGGTGCTGGGGGCAATCAGAGAGGAAAGGGAAAAGGAACCAGGTTTAGGAAAAGAGGAAAAGGGAATGAAGGGGAGAAAGGGGAGACTGAAGGCAGAGAGATGAAGGGGCAGACGGGCTCAGTGGGGTTCTCGGGGCAGAGGAGTTACTGGAAGTGATGGGGGTCACTGAGGCTGACAGGGGGGCACAAAGGGGATGAGGGGGATTTGTCAGGAGAGGGAGAGGACAGCTGAGGTTCCTGGGGGTCCCGAAGGGCAGTGGGGACTGCAGGGCACGCGGTGGGGGCTGCAGTGTGGTGGGGGTGACATGGAGGGGTCAGAGCACACGGGGGGATCACTGAGGGAGCAGTGACGGCTGACAGAGAGGCCATGGTGTCACTGAGGGTGGGAGGATCTCTTAGGGGATGACACGGGGCTTCCAAGGGGGTCTCTGACGTGGTGACAGGGACACCGGAAGGTGAGGGGGGTGAAGGGGGGTCCGTGAGGGGGTGACAGAGGATCTCGGAGAGAGTAACAGGGAAGTGACAGGAACAGACAGGGAGACCGGGCGATGGTCGCTAGGGGGTGACAAGAGTGGCAGGAGGGGTGAAGGGGAGGTTGTGGCTTCTCTGAGGGGGTGGCCGAGGTGCGAGCGCCGCGGGTGCGGGTTCGGGTTCGGGTTCGGGTTCGGGTTCGGGTTCGGGTTCGGGTTCGGGTTCGGGTTCGGGCCCCCCCCCTTCACCTCAGCCGCTCCCGCGCCGGCCTCGCGCTGCCCCGGCCCCGCCCCCGGCGCGCGGCCGCCGCCTCCTTTGCGGCCGTCGCAAAAGGGCCGTAAAAGCAGCGCCGCCCGGTGCGGGAGCGGAGGTAGCGCTGGGGCTGCCCCGGTGGCGCGGGGGGAGCGGGGAGGGCCCCGAGGTGAGGTCGGGCCCGGGGCTGCGCCGTGGGCGGGGGCGAAGCGTCGGCAGGGCCGGGGACGCCCCGGGCCCTTCCCCGGCCGGGTGTTTGCCAGGCCCGGTGGGAGTCCCGCGGCGGCCGGGCCGGGCGTTTGTTTCGGAGAACGAAGCGCTCCTGGGCTGTTTTCCCCCGGCTCATCCCCTCAGGATGAGGGAAAAGTCCAGTTTAGTGCATTGGGAGTAATTTTTCTGGTGATCCTGGGCAACGCCCACAGGGACCTCCACGGTGACTAATTCTGGTCTCCCGGCGATAGGAGAGGTGCAGCTCTGCTTCCTCCCGAGCTTATAGAGCACAGCGAAGGCCCTGCCACTTTCTCTTCGCCTCCCTCTGACGGGGCTGCCTGAGGTGGCTTTTCACTGCTGGAATTTGCCTTGCTGAGGGTGTGGAGAGTGGAGCCCAGATCACTTGTTCTTAGGCCAGTGATGACCTTTGATTTGCACAGTTTTCTCTACCCGTGCAGCGCAGATGGTTTTAGAACTCTGTCTTCTTCCTTTCTCTGCTTTATTTACTGGACTTACACTAGGTTTTCTTTTTTTTTTTTTTTTTCTTTTTTTCATTAATGTCTCCTACTGATGAACAGCAAATGCTTATTTTTAATCTCCCTTATCTACTGCTTCTCTGCTTCTGGAGATTTGCATGTCTCTGGTCATCTGCTTTGAAGGGAGATGGAACATTGTGAGGGTTCTTGTTTGTGCTGGAAAAGTTGATCCTGACCCTGTATTTTCTTTTCAGAGCTGCTTCATGCTGTCTCTGGCCAGCTAAAGCTCTCCAGCTCCTGCATGTTTTCTTGTACATTTTGAAAGTTGAACAGACAATGAGCTGGGTTAAATTTAGAGAGGAAAAAAGCTATAGCAAAACTGAAACAAGGAACAGAAATCTGAAAAAAAATGTGCATAACTGTTTTTAAGTGGTTGTCAAGCATCACTGCGGAGACAAAGCTGCTCCAAACCAATTTGACCTAACACTTTTCAGTCTGAGTAAAGTTTTTGCTGCTGTCAGTTGATAACCTGAGTGGTGTCACCTGCTCTCCTGGGAGAAGTGTGAGGGGTCTGGCTGTGCACCAGTCTGTAACACAACTCTGCTGGAGTTGGGGGTTTCTGCTGCTGCTGGAATTTTGTCTGGTGGCTGCAGAGTTTTACAACTGCATTTGGAGCACTTGTTTCTTGTTGTTCCATCCGCAGTTCTCCAAATAACTTTCTCTTTCAAAGGACTAGTCCTATGAAATCATCTTCCTGTGCTGATGGCAAATGAAATGCTCTTTAGGGCAGCAGCTGGAAACTTTTGATGGCCTAAAATCTCATTTGTGTGCTCAGGTGTGTCTGCCCCTTTGTGTTGCAGGATCTTATGGTTCTCCAGCCCAGCTGCTTCCTGCTCAAGACGATTCCTAGGCCACCCAACCCATGAGTGGGCACCGGAGCATCAAGAGGCGATGTGGGGAGTCACACCTGGAGGGCCCTGCAGGCTGTGGCCACGGCCCCAGCACTGCCTGCGTGCTCAGCAAACTGGTGCAGCTGCCCACGCCGCCCCTGTCCAAGCACCAGCTCAAACGGTTAGAGGAACACAAATACCAGAGTGCCGGACGGTCCCTGCTTGAGCCCCTCATGCAGGGCTACTGGGAATGGTTAGTTGGAAGAGTTCCAGCCTGGATTGCCCCCAACCTGATCACCATCGTCGGACTGTTAATAAATATATTTACAACTCTGCTATTAGTATGTTACTGCCCAACAGCTACAGAACAGGTGAGTTATGGACTCCTGACACTCCTTGTTACTGGTTTTGGGTGGATTGTCGCTTTGGGGTGAGCTGGTTCTTGCTGTTCAGCCCTCAGTCCTTGTCCTTGTAACCTGTTCTCTGTAAATGTTTGTGCCTCTCCGTGATGCTGGCATGCGGAGAGAGCACATGTGAATGCTGGAGTGAGACAGCAGTTCCTGGGGCAAACACACCCACATGGAGCAGGATCTGACACCAAAGCAGCCATGAGGGACCTGCTGCACAAAGCTCAGCCCTGCCAGGAGTTGGAGCAGTGGCTCTGCAGCTGCCTAGCCTGTGTGGCAGGAGGAGTTGGTACCTGTTTACTTTCTGTGGCTGGAGCAAGGTGACTCCCCCTCAGCTCTGGGATCAGAGTTGCTACACGAGCTGGGTGGGTTGGACATGCTGGGGCTGCACCAGAGCCAAGGCACTGAGCTCTAGAGTAGTGCCACTTAAGATATCAAAGTTGGTGCGACCAAACCCAGCTTAGTGAGCCACAGGGACACCTTCCTGGGCCCCACAGGTTCTGTGTCCTGGCAGCTCAGTCAGGACTTTGGAACATTGTGGTGGAGTTGTGTTCCTGAGCTGTGGCCATGCTGTGAGGAGGCCAGATAAAAGTCAGTGGTTTTATTCTTTGTTCTGAATGCTCTAAAAGCTCCTCATCTGCCTTGAGAACTGTTTTAACCTGATTTCAGGGGTACAGAAGTCTTTTTGAAGCATTTCAACTTCCCTCTATCACCAGTTGGAGACTCATTTTTGTGCACTGGAAGAGTTCTCTTGAATGTTGAATCTTAAAAGCTGCTTTTATGTGTGTGCACTGAGAAAGGGAGTTACTTGGTATAGAAATATGTTACATGCCAAATGGCTGGGAATGTCTCAAGAGTTCCAGCTTTCAAAACATCTGAACTCCTTCCTAACCAAGTTTCCCAGCTGAGGCTGGGAATCCAGCAGGACACAGTTTGTTCCCCACCATACTCCAAAATCTCATGTAGTTGGCTCAGTCGGCATTGCATCCCTGCTCCACGTATGACATGGGAAAGGGATGTTTGCCTCTCCTAGAAATCTTTTGAAATAGATTGTTTCACAATAATCTGTGGAATTTGGCAGGTGTAAGATAAACAGTGACTGTTCAGCTTGAGCAGAGAATACTTGGAGCAGCTCCTTCCTTTTCCAGGCTGTAGCATTGTGGCGTGGGTCAGTTTAACTTGTGTTTATTTCTGAGCAGGGTTACATGGGGGCTCAGGCTCTGAAATCTGGTCTGATAGAGAGACTTCAGCTTCAGGAACCCAGAGCTGGTTTGGGTCACTAAACCAGAGCAGAACTTAAAATTTGGAGAACAGTTGTATCTTGGTTGGTAACTAAACTCCTGAAGTGCCCAGGAAGCTGCACTCAGAGCATCAGAAATTCAATGTTAGCTGGAGACTGCTGTATGAAAGCACTGTTTGGTATTTAACAGTTTGAGAAGTACTTTGTGTGAGGTGAATTAGATTTCCTCCTCACTTGAACTGAAAAATAACTTAGTGCTGAGGCAGCTTTTGGCCTGATCTGATTTGCCACATGGCACAGCATGACCAGGGAGGTGCTTTTTAAGTGTCAAGGAGCTGTGTGGGGTTCTGGAACTCCAGGAGCAGAATTTCTCCTCCTCCTCCCAAACCACCATTGGTTTCTGATACAAATTTTCTCTTCCTTGTAGCTCAGCCTTAGTTCCACTTTTTTTTCAAGAGTGACTCCTCCCTTCCTGTTGCTGAAAGGTGCAGCCAGGGCCGAGCTGTCGCTCAGGGCCTTGTGCAGCCGGAGAGTAAAGGAGATGCAAATACTTCCTGGTTAGCTGGGAGGATCCAGCTGGAAAAGTGCTGACTGATGGAATGGTACTTGAGCTTAAAAAAAACCAAAAAAAAAAACCCAAAAAAACCCAACCAAACAAAAAAAAACCTGGATAAGGAGAGAGCTGTGAAATGTTACTTGGATATAAATAGGTCTAAGGTGGAAACACCTACACTGCTCATGAAAGGAGCTTTTAAGAAATGAGAGCCAGCAGATTGATTTTTAAGTTTATAGAGAAACCTTCAGAGTGATGCAATTTAATTTAACTGTGGTAGATAAAATCTGCACATGAGGGATAAAAATGGGAGGGGATTGTGTGGCATCAGAACCTTGGCTAAAAGTGGTACTCTTCTCTTGGATGACACATTTCCCGTTTCTCACCTTGTGCTGTTTGTACAGACAGTACTGAAAGCACATCACAATGGCAGATTTTGGGGTAGAATGAGCTGTTTTGGTGAATGGCAGGAGCAATGCAAGTTGTGGAAGGAAATATATTTAAGCTGATGTACTACCAATGTGTCGTGGTTGGGTTGGCCAAAACCAGCTGGACTCTGGGGCTTTATGAGAGGCAGGTCAGCTTGATTAAGCTGTATTTGGTTTTGCTTGGTGTGGTCTGTAAAATGAAGCTGCTCATAAATGCTCACTTCTGTAAAGTGTGTCAAATGTGAAGATTTGGAAATAGCCAATAATATCTGATTTATGGCTGTGTAAATGGAAATGGAGTAATGGCAGCTCCCTGACTTTTGTGTTCTTAATGGTTTATGCTTCGAAAGGCATAAAAAAGCTTGGATTGTAATCTTTGCTCTAGCAGGGCTTTGGCATTGTGTTTCTGTCAGAGTAGAAATTGTTATCGTGGATGTGGCCATTAAAGATTCTTAACATAGATTTGGCAAAACTGCTGGTGCCTCGGACTGGAGGGAACAGTTGGTGGTGGAGGGGCTGTGCTGCAGGCTCCAGAAATGTTCCTGGACTCAAAGTCTGGGCACTGGCAGTGGCACGGCTCTCAACTGGTGGAGGGCTGGTGAAGATGAACACTGGTGAAGTGTTTGTGACAAAGTTGGGGGCTAAAAGCTCCCAAGTTTCTGAAATCACTGGGACAACTTGCATGTATTTAATGAGGACTTTGTTGCGCTCTGCTTTGCAAATGTAGTATTACAATTTTTCCAGCTGTACAGTGCAGCTTCCTACATTAGAGCAGGGGCTGTAGCTATTAATCTGTCACTGGTTTATTTACATTCCACATGTAACAACCCATTCTGTCTGTCCTTGC